GACAGACTCCCCATCTAAAGAGATTCAAGGAGTCTAAGACTGCTTTCTGATTAGGAATTTCTGTAAGTTCTGAGAGTCACCAGCTGTCCCAGTTTGGATCTGTATCTAAGTTTATCTTAACCTAAAAGTTAACTTATGTACTATTGTGCTACTTTAAAATTCTTATTTCAACACTTGTTAGTATAAGAGAAGAATCCAAACAACATACTTGTATAAGTGAGGGGGAAGTTGGCGACAATGTTTTGTGAAATAAATGTGCAAATGTCTTTCCAGAAAATACATGAGACAGAGCTCTTAAAATTTTTTTATATAGAATAAGCGGTTTGTGTCAATGTTTGTTTATCATTGCAGAAAAAATTTGCAAGGATTGTCTTAAAAGATACTTTGACTTTGATAATGTCCTGCAGAACAAGACATTACCTCTCCGGATCACAACAAGAAAATTGACAAAAAACAGAAATATGAAACACAGCGGTCCTAATTCGAACCTCAGACTGATCCCCTGCCTAAAGGAACCTCAGACTGAAAACCTTTTTTCAGTCTGAGGTTAGGGTTAGGTTTTTTCGTGTGGACAAACCCCAAGACAGAGGGGCAAAAAAGCTTTTAATATTTTAGAAAATTTTGGTTTAACACAACATGTCAAACAAGCAACACACACTCAAGGACACACACTGGACTGGTTATCAGTAAGGGTGTGAAATTTATGTCTCAATCGCCCTGTCAGATCACTTTGCTGTTATCTATGAAAGTTCTTTATTCTTTGACCCGCTTGGACAAACAGCTGCTGTCACAAAACGTTCTTTTACAGAAAACAAGCATTTAATCAAATCTACTCTTCCTCCTCACCCTTAAGCTGTAATGATGTAGATAAGTTGGTAGATGATTTTCAGTCTAAAGTTTCATATAACATTGATTCTATTGGCCCAATTAAAGTAAAGGTTGTGTCTGGTAGGAAGAAATCTCCATGGAGAAAAGCACAAACAGTTGTGAGTACATAACTGTTTGTCGCAGGGCAAAACCAAAATGGCGTAAAAACTCAACTTCACGTTCATAATGACATCTATAAAGAAAGACTACGTAACTATCACTAACACTAAAACATGCAAGGGAGGCTTTCTTTGCAGATGTTATTAACAAAAACATGAACAATGCTGGAGCTTTATTTGCAACAGTTGACAGGCTCACAAACCCTCCTGTGACGTTACCACATGAATCCAATCTAATGCTGATGGAACAAGTTTTCCAGCTTCTTTTCAGAGAAAATTCAAAAAAATCAGAGGATTAATCTGCACATCAACTCTAAAGCCAGAACCATTGCTGTACCAAAACAAAACAAATACAGGAAAAATGACCCATTTTCAACTACTTCATTATAAAACCCTAGAAGAAATTATAAGTCAATTAAGTTCAAGCTCCTGCTGTCTGGATGTCCTACCCACACATGTCTTTAAGAAAGTCCTGCCTGTTATTGCAACTGATCTGATCCAAATTGTAACTCATCACTCACATCAGGCGTTTTCCCCCAGGCCTTGAAAACGGCAGTTATTAAACCACTGTTAAAAAAGAACAATCTGGACAAATCACTACTGCAGAATTACAGGCCGATCTCTGACCTCTGACCTCCCATTCATCAGCAAAGTTATTGAAAAAACTGTGAAAACAATTAAATTGTTTCCTCATGATGACCAACTGCTTTGACACTTTCCAGTCTGGTTTTTGTGCTCACCACAGCACGGAGACTGGCCTAGTCAAAGTATTCAATGATATTCATATAAATACGGACTGTGGGAGAACCACAGTGCTGATTCTGTTGGACCTCAGTGCAGCTTTTGACATTTTACTGAATCGACTGGAGAGTTGGGTTGGACTCTCTGGTTCGGTGCTCGACTGGTTGAATCTTACATAAAGAACAGGAATTTCTTTGTTTCAATTGGAAACTTCTCATCAAAGAGGTCAAAGGTCACATGTGGGATACCCCAAGGTTCAATTCTAGGACCCCTCTTATTCAATAATTATATTCTCCCACTAGCTCAGGTTATAACAGGAAATAATATTAGCCACCATAACTATGTGTGACCCGACCGAGGGGCAGGGTTCCTTTTATTTATAGGACGCACCAGAACACTGATTAAAATATAATAGTTTATTAAACAATTTCTTTAAAACACTTCTCTTTTTAAAAACACATTTCAGGCATACTACTTGGTCCCTGGAAGGGGAAGGGATTCTGTGAAATAAAGACAATTTAAATCATTCCAAAAGAAATAAATGAACAAACAAAACATGCCATGCAAAAAAAAGAAAACAAAAGAATAATAGATCCAATAACAAATAAGCACGGACTGCAAACAAACAAAACACTTTAAACAATGGAATAATTGCTGATGTCCGATTTCAGAAGCCGCTCACAACAGGGACGAAGGAGTCACGCCCACATATCCAGAATAGCAGCAGGTTCCGTTCTGAACTGCTCACACCACACTGACAGGACAAGACAGCAGAGCGTCCAAAGCGCTGCAATGCCCACAGCACTCCGGTGCCCAGGAGTGGAAGCACAGTTTCCCAGAGAGGAAGCGGACCAACAAGTGAGGACTAGATGGAAGCCACACGCCGCAACAATCTCCAGCTGCAACCGCCAATGCCACACCAGCAAAAACATTGGATTTCCAGTAAGCCGATCAAACCCACAGGCCACTCAGCCAGCCAGCATGTAGCAGGGGAGACAAAGACACACACACCTTGCAGCGGCCTGCCTGGCTATAAAGGCACCTGCCCCGCCCACCAATCAACAGTGAGCTTCTCGTTGCACCTGGTATGCAGAGTGAGGAGGGTGAAACACCATGCCACCACATATGCAGATCATACACAGCTCTACATTTTGATGTCACCAGGTGACCTTTGACCCCATCCAATCACTGAATAAATGCTTAGAACAGATAAATGTGTGGATGTGCCAAAACTTTCTCCAGCTGAACAAAAACAAAACTGAAGTCATTATTTTTGGACCTAAAGAGGAACGATCTAAAGTCAATGCACAGCTTCAGTTATTACAACTAAAAACTAGCGATCAGGCCCGAAACCTGGGAGTAGTGATGGACTCGGACCTGAACCTTCAGAGCCATATAAAGACAGTTACAAAGTCGGCCTTCTATCACCTGAAGAACGTCTCCAGGATTAGAGGACTAATGTCTCAGCCAGATCTAGAGAAACTCATTCATGCGTTTATCTTTAGTCACATTGATTATTGTAACAGCGTCTTCACAGGCCTGTCCAACAAATCAATCCTCCAGCTGCAGCTGATCCAGAAGCTGCTGCTCCTGTTCTCACTACAAGCAGGAAGATAGAGACATAACAGCAGTTTTAAAGTCCCTCCACTGGCTCCCTGTAGCTCAAAGAATAGATTTTAAAATACTGTTGTTGGTTTACAAATCACTGAACGGTTTAGCACCACAATACATCAAAGATCTGCTGTTGTTGTGTCAACCTTCCAGACTCTCAGGTTCTGGTTCTGGTTCTGCTCTGCATCCCCAGAACCAGAACCAAGAGAGGAAAAGCAGCTTTCAGCATCTATGCACAACAAATTTGGAACAAACTTCCAGAAAACTGTAAAACAGCAGAAACCCTGACTTCCTTTAAATCTAAACTAAAAACACACCTGTTTAGAGTTGTTTTTGAAATGTAATCAATTCAAAATGTAGTGATGGAACTTGACTTAATGTATTGTTTATTCTATGTTGCATGACTTTGTGTTTTTGTGTTTATGATGTGAAGCACTTTGAAATGCCTTGCTGCTGAAATGTGCTATACAAATAAAATTTGATTGATTTGATTGATTGATTGATCAAATATTTAGAGGGAAGACACCAGATTTTCTTCCAATTCAGTTCTGAAGTCTAAGAGCTTACATTTAGATTAGATACCATTAATAAGGCATCTATTTCACAGTTGTTTTTTGCTGTTAGCGAAAAAATGTAGAAGCAAATTTAGCCAATGTTGGTGACAGGAAGATTCAGACTTAGTGGAGGTACAGACAGAAGTTACAGAGGATTTAAGAAATATTATAACACCAGACTGGATAGCATCAAAAACAAAAGCATATTCCCTTGGTGGTATGGGAATGATAAACTTTTTATTTTGAACATGGACTGAACGGCTTTGTTCACTTCCACCGCCTCCATTGCAAAAACTACAGACAGACTACAATTCTAAAACAGAGCAGAAAATTAACATAATCGTTCATGGTTTCTCCAGTGATCCAAGTAAACTGAAAGCTCAGACTAAATGAGATTTGAACAGAGCGGAATTGCGCAGGGAGGCAATGGCCAATCCAGGAAAAAGGACGAGGAGTTTGATTATCAATACATTCTGACTGAGAATGCATGCTGTTGGAAGGGGGACAGTTATTCTGCAAAGGTGATGACATACGAGGAAGTTAGGCCATCAACTCCTCAAGATTAGATTAGCTTCATGTGGCAGAGAACGAAGATTTCAGCAGGAAATAAACGGCTATTTGCATTTATTCCGTGTCGTAATCTGATCACAAGATGTCGCCAAAGTTCCTTTTATGACAATTTGAGCCTGGAAATTTTCTGCTCAATATTTCACTGCAACTGTAAATATTTCAAATTAAGCACGTGCTTAATTCGAAATATATTGTGTTGTGAATGTGTATATACACAGATGAATGTTTAAGATTAGGCCTATCTCTTTTAGATATCTCTTTTCATTGCCAAGAGGGATTGAAGATTTCTAAAACTTGCTTGAGAAAGAGAGAGAGAGGGAGAAAGAAAGAAAGAGAGCGAGAAAAAGAGAGAAAGAGAAATAGAGAGAAAGAAAGAGAGCGAGAGAAAGAGAGAGAAAAAGAAAGAAAGAGAGCGAGAAAAAGAGAGAGAGACCACATTCTGATTTCAGAAGCAATTAAATCAGTCATTTGGTCACCAGGGAAAAGGAATAGCAGGTTGTGTTATGATGACGTGTGATGTGAGTTTTATTTTGAAAAGTCAGGTCTCAGGAGGGCGTGGATTAAGTTCTCCAGCCTCGAGCTCTGGCCCTGGAGCCTCCAGGTTTCAGCCATATGCGTCTTATTCGCTCCGGTTTCGGTGTCGTCGCCAAGCTAATTTATTCAGGCTCTGTGGCTCCTCTGCCTTCATCTTAAGCTCGACATGCCGGAGTACCTGGACGACCCGTCTGTGCTCACCAAAGACAAGCTAAAGAGCGAGCTTGTTGCTCACAATGTGGAACTACCGAGCGGCAACCCGACCAAGGATGTGTATGTGCAGCTTTATCTAAAGAACCTGACGGTCCAGAACGAGAAGAACGTAGTTCTGGATGCGTTCTCCAGTGACGAGGAGCTGCCGCCTGTCGTGGCCTCCAATCGAAGCCGCTCTTCCGGAAGGGTAAGCCTTGTTCTCCGTGTCAGTCAACCAGCTGCCTCTTGTACTTTTCTTTTTACCGTGCTGATATTCAGATATTCACCGCTTCTGGTGGAACTGCGAAGTGAAAACGTTTAGTGCAGTTTGTATTATTGTTTTATAGATTATAGATCAGCTTGACGGTATTCCTAAACTAGTTTTTCTTTGCGGGACAAAAAGTTTTTTCCATTTCTTCCCATCCAGCCTCCAGCTGCGCCCCGCCTCCTGATGTCGGATGGTTGGTTAGACACAGCAAGCCTCTGATTGAGCTTATGATCTAACTAAATCACTTACTTAATGGCCACAGATTTGATCAAACTGGCGCTGTTCAGGTTTCTCTTCCCCCGGAGCTTTCCCACTTGAGTCTCAGTTTCAGTGAAGCTGGAAGTCATAACACAGCTGCAGCTGCCAGTTCAAAACATCCCATCCAGCTGCGGACAATGACATCAGGACTAGGTAATGACGTTTACTTTTCAAGGCAGGATTTCACAAAATGTAAACTTTTTGTAAAGAAACATAAACTCCTGATTTTGTGCTGATGTCATTAGGACACTAATGAACCGAGGATTCATTAGTGTTAGGGTTAGGGTAAGTTACTTTAAAAATAGAAGTGGTTGCACTTTTAATTTACTCTATTTAAAATGTGGTAGCAGTGAAACTATTTCAACAACAAATTACACAGCAGGATTTGTTAGAAGAATTTTGCATGGGTTAGTTCAACATGAGAGAGGAGGTCAGATTGAATGAATCTGGACTTGAATGACATTTTTATTTCTGAAAACTTTTAGGTTCATTGTTAGAAGAATGCACTTGCAGATGCTGCAGTGCTTTACTGAGTCAAACCTGTCTCTCTCTTTGTGTAACAAAATCAGCTGCTTTGCATTTGATACTATTCTAAATTTTACTTAAAAAGTCTCTATCATAAGTTTTTGCAAGTGAGTCCTTCTCTACTCTTAGCTAATTGTGTCAATGGTGGATTTAGAAGTAATTTAAAATCAGCTACATATACAGAGAAATACTGAATCTTACCATTGAAGATAATATTTCTGTCAGGGGTGAGAGATGCTTCATAAAATGACTTCTTCCTGCTCCAGTTCTCCTTTAACACTAATAAAGGAAATACTGGAAATAATATTAGCTACATTATGGTGTCACCAGGTGACCTTTGACCCCATCCAATCACTGAATAAATGCTTAGAACAGATAAATGTGTGGATGTGCCAAAACTTTCTCCAGCTGAACAAAAACAAAACTGAAGTCATTATTTTTGGACCTAAAGAGGAACGATCTAAAGTCAATGCACAGCTTCAGTTACTACAACTAAAAACTAGCGATCAGGCCCGAAACCTGGGAGTAGTGATGGACTCTGACCTGAACCTTCAGAGCCACATAAAGACGATTACAAAGTCGGCCTTCTATCACCTGAAGAACATCTCCAGGATTAGAGGACTAATGTCTCAGCCAGATCTAGAGAAACTCATTCATGCGTTTATCTTTAGTCTCATTGATTATTGCAACAGTGTCTTCACAGGCCTGTCCAACAAATCAATCCTCCAGCTGCAGCTGATCCAGAAGCTGCTGCTCCTGTTCTCACTAAAACCAGGAAGATAGAGACATAACAGCAGTTTTAAAGTCCCTCCACTGGCTCCCTGTAGCTCAAAGAATAGATTTTAAAATACTGTTGTTAGTTTATAAATCACTGAATGGTTTAAAGATCTGCTGTTGTGTGTCAACCTTCCAGACTCTCAGGTTCTGGTTCTGGTTCTGCTCTGCATCCCCAGAACCAGAACCAAATGAGGAGAAGCAGCTTTCAGCATCTATGCACAACAAATTTGGAACAAACTTCCAGAAAACTGTAAAACAGCAGAAACCCTGACTTCCTTTAAATCTAAACTAAAAACACACCTGTTTAGAGTTGTATTTGAAATGTAATATGTATGTAATGTATTGTTTATTCCATGATGCATGACTTTGTGTTTTTGTGTTTATGATGTAGAGCACTTTGAAATGACTTGCTGCTGAAATGTGCTATACTAATAAAAATTGATTTGATCAGTAACATATTTTCATGCACCTGTGTAACTTTGATGCCGTTTCTCAGAGTTGTTGAGTTGTTTTTGGAACTTGCACTGACCCCCTGCAGGCACAGACTGCTTGAATTCCACAAATACAAGTTCAAATGAGCTTCTCAGTAAATAAAATTTCTAAGTCCAAAGTTGCTACTGTATATTTATGAAATGAGCCTCCCTAGGGTTTACATTTGGCAGGGAGGAATGGGAAATTAATTTTCCAAATGAAAGGGTTCACATTTTCTTTTTAGGATAAAGGATTTTTAAATACCTAAAGGAGAAAATAATCTGAACCCTTGTTTTGATGTTGATACTTGCATTTTATGTAAAATTTCAGGATATTCTTTATTTTCGTTTTCCTGGAAATGCCCTACTTGCTATTGTCTAAAAATCTTTACCTGATTGTTTAGCAGCTGTTCTAAGAGCCACTTGTTGCTGTTGTTGATCAAGCTCTGCACTGGTGGGAATTACAAATGCACCTCTCAAACTGTTAAGTGTTCTCAGCAGAAGATTTTTTGCATGTGAAGCCACTTTATATAATTTTTTAAGAATTCTTCATAAATAAAATGGCTAAAAGTTTGAAAACAAAATACACTCCTAGCTTGAAATCTTACTAGTATCCTGCAGGATTAGGAAAGAATCCACAGAATTCAGCATGTAAGCTTTTTGTCTGCTTACATGTTGCTCCCGATGAATCATGTTGCAGATTTTTTTTTTTTTTACCTGCCAACCAAAAGGTTGGTAGAAGATGAGCTGAACATTACAGACCAGACAGGTTTCACCAGCTGACAACACAGCAGTGTGGAAACAGCAGAATGCTCAAAAAGGATTTATTGCCTCTGTCAGTTGTTCAGGATATGAAGTAACGACAACCATATAAAGGTGTACTTTCAGAGGAATGCTAGAGGGTGGGACAATAATCCAGCTCTTATACTCCATACTTCAATGTGAATAAGGATTTATAAGTTACAAGTAAACAGAAAAATACAGATTCTTTACTGGTAATACGTTTATATAATGAAGCCATTTGAAGTAAGAGAGTAGACATGTTTCTGCTCAGGCATGAATAATGGAATTCAAGTTTACAAGAAGCTAGATTTTTTTTAATCTTGCAAATTATTGCACACTGTACAGTGTACACTATTTCTAACGATTATTTTACAATGTGAAATAAATGAAGTTACATGCCTCTTGAAATGTTCCACATTTAGTCACATTATGCAAACAAAGATATTCTATTGGAATTTAATGTGAAAGAACACAAAGTGGAATACAGTTGTGAGGTAGAAAAAAATCACACATGATTCAAAGCACGTCCTACAAATAAACTAAAAAGTGTGATGTGCAAAAATATTCAGTCTCCCTGAGTCAGAACTTTGTGGACCCACTGTTTGCTGCAATTCCAGCTACTAGTCTTTAGGGTTTGTCTCTACCAGCTTTGGACTTTTAGTTGTTTAAAGTTCCTCTGTTCTTCTCTGCAAAACAGCTCTTCCTCAGTCTCAAGTTTTTTTCAGACTCCAAGTTTTCTTCCATTGTCCTGTATTTGGCTCCATCCATATGCTCAAGAAATTCTGATTCTATAGTGCCTTTTCACAGCAAGTTGTCTCAACACTCTTGACAAAAATCATTTCAATTCAATCACACACATCCTAGTCATCAAACAGTACAGTAAGCTCAACTAATTAGTCAAACAGTTTTAAAAAGTTTCTATTTAAGAAAACCCAGCAGAGCGAATTCAAAAAAAAATTCTTTTTTTTTATGATTATTATTTTAATTTTCAGTTTCTCATTGAAATTTCTAAATTGATACACTCTGGGATTAGACAAAATACTTCTTCAAGATATAAGTTATTGTAAGGAAGGTTAAACTTTATTAGATCTTAAGCTTGGTTTTGTATTTTTTATTTTAGTTTTCCAAGCCTGCTCCTGACAGCCGGTGGTTACCAGAGCAACCAGTATCTAGCAGCTGATTGGTTCTTTTCTGTTGTTGGTAATGGCACTCACCGCTCATTGCCCGCTGAATGCTCTCTGTGCCAGAGCGAAAGGCCACTCAGTTCCTCTTTGAGAACAACTCAGATGTCGTTGTAACTCACCTGTGCTGGAAGAAGTAAAGTTCATGCAAGAGACACTTCTTTCTTGTCAAGTGTCTTCAACTACTCACACGCCTCCATCACACCGGAAACCAAAAGCACAATATTATGTTATTCTGACTGGTCAGCACGTTAACGATATCTAAAATGCAGGAAATGTTTAGATTAAAAAAACGTTTAAGATATTTCTAATTTATTTGGAGATATCTTAAAAGGAATATTTACAACAGTATAGTTGTAAATATCTAAGCTAGTTTTGCCTTGTCATTATTTGCTTTCAATATATCTGTAATTCAATTTGCACTAATTGAATCTTATAGACTCCTATCTACAGTACATCGAAGGTATCTTGCATTATAGTGTCATTCAATCTTTAATTAGAATTACGACTAGTTAGAACAAAAAGGGAAATCTTATATTGACTTTATGGCATGACATGCATGTGGGAAGACAAAGGGAAGATTTGGTTTCAAATAAAGCAATCACAGATCCTATTACAACTGCTAAGGCAAGCCTCTTTACTGAGGGAACTCTTTGTGCATGTGGTTAAAAGTTAAAGACCAGCCTTATGTTGGATTTTATTTGCAATGTGTTGTGAAACCTAGTGTTTACATGCAAGTGCATACTGTAAAATATGAGGAATATGTAATGGCAATAATGAAAATATTTTCCATCTTGGTGACGGAGAGCTACACAGTCCATTGTTACTCTGCCAAGCAGTTCAGCGTAAAACCACAAGTCCTGGCATGCTGCACATTTGACTACTTTCTATAAGCTGATAATAAAGAGAAATATTACTTCATTGGAGCTGGGTGTAGCTGCAGAGGAGGGAGCACAAAGTTTCACTCGAGAAAAGACTGCTGTGATCATAAAACATGAGATCAGATTTCGCGTAGGAAGAACATCTCCACCCATTTCACACAGACGGAACCACAGCTTCACTCCTCTTTGACACAGAGCATTTTCTCTTCGGCTTTCCTCTCATTTCTGGCGGTTAGCCACACTTCACTGAATTACAGTCAGTGTTTTGCTGCTTTTTTTCTGCGCATCCCATCAAACAGTGGAGGGACTGCTACTGAATGATTCAAGTGTAGCAAAGTTTTTTCAGTAAACGTTAGAGGAGTATGCTCTGAAGTTAATAGGTTTGGGTGTATTTAAATTAATGACTAAGATGGACAGATTTACGCTCCACAACAGGTTCAGAATGTTAAAATTCTGCTAGACCTCAACAAAGCAGTCGCACCTTTGTGAACATCGAGAAATTCAAAAGGGAAAAGAATTTCATCAGTGAGTTGTTCTGTCAGTTCTGGGAGAGGAGAATACAACCAGGTCCTTTCTGCATTGGGTTTCTGTCGGATGGCAGAGAGCTAGCAAATCTGTGAATTAACTAAGTTTGGACCAAGTGTTAGTATGAAAACCATTTACCCGCCATTATTGATAGCCATGCTAACTATCCTGAGCTAGTTAGCTTCGATCTGGAGAACTAGCTATAGTCTAGCAGAGAGAAAGGGGAAGCTGTGAGTTCACCACCTTTAAGCCACATTACTGGGTCATCTTGCACGAGATCACTGAACCTTCAAAATGTAAAATAAAAACACACACCTGCCAAGTGTGCCAAACATCACCACTTTTGCAGCACATCCGGTTAAAGAGTCATGCAAAAAAACGGAGCTTTGTGGTTTAGACCACCCAAAGGTGTACACATAATTGCAGGAGACTTTAACATTCCAGCTTGAAGACTGCGCTAAAGCTATACCAGCAGGTGGAATGGTCTACAAGGGAAGAGATCATGTTTACATCAGGCATGCGTACAGAGCCACAAATCCTCCCTCACCTCGGCCAGTCAGACCATCTGTCTCTCCTACTGTCCTCAACCTACATCCCCTCAGACGCAGAGCCAGGGCCACCAAAAGGATGGTTCCAACCAGGCCTCAGAATGAACTCAAACTGCAGGACAGTTTCAGCCAGAGGGGGACTTATTTGAACACCAGGAATTGGAGATAGTCACAAGAACTGTACTGGACTACATCCAGTTGTCCATCAGGAATATGTCTGTGGAAAACAAAAACCAAAACAAAAAACATCTGGACATTTCTTAACCAGAAGTAAAAAGAAGAATTTATTAAACTGACAACTCTTGATCAAAAATTACTAAACTTAATTAATCTATTTTGGTTCTGCGAAAGCAAGGTGTTCTTTTGCAACCATTTTTAAATATTTATTTTAAAATATCTGAATATTTTTGGATGAGTTGCAACAATAGTTGCTGTTTCAATCATGCCATTCAGTGAGGCTGAGGAGTGACTTGTGAATGAAAATAAACTTGTGCAGGATTGCATTAAGTTTGAGTTTTAACTGTCTGCTTCTGTGCCACAGAAAGCCGCCACGAAATCAAACAAACATCATGTGGAGCAAGTTGACATCACATCACTTACTGACGAGAGCCTGAGGGACGAATTGCAAAAGCATGGGATGAAAGTGGGGCCAGTTGTAGGTGAGTGCTTCTTCCAGCTGCTCTTTGCACAGAATAAAATGTCTGCTGTGGGTGATGCACGAGTCAAAACATAGGAAAGAGTTGTTTTTGTAGCCACAGTCATGTGATTCAAGTTTACACACCCTTAATGGGAGGGATGCCTCATATTAAAGCACACCTCCTCTGAGATCTGTAGATTTGGGAACGGGATTAGCCACTGCCCCCTGCAGGTTATAGTGAAATAGTGCATGAGTATTTGAGGCCCCAATAGGCACTGCTGCGCTCAGCACAGTAAGACACCATAAACTCATGTAGAGACTAGCATTGTTCCTTAAAATGGCTTCAGAGAGTTCACTTTTCACTATCATTAATTCAAACAGGGTTAGGGTAGGGTTAGGCACAGTCGTTTCCCACAGAAATACAGGTCAACCACAACGGCAACTCTGAGTCTGAGATCTACAGCGACACTGAGGACGGTATAAACATATGAACTCATTGTGCATGACTCAGGGATCGAAGCATTCTTGAACATTTTTCAGAATGAAGATCTCTATCCAGGCACAAAATTGTATTGATTTGATGAATTGCAGGATGTTCCGATCTCTTTATGAGACCGGAAATCAGGAATGATCACGTAGTTTCGGACTTGATTGGAATTGAGCATTACATCCTGATCAAGGATAAGATGTGTACTGTGTTAATACATAGCAGTCTGCTAAATCACGCTGTTGGGAGATGGTTGCCAAGAACCCCAGAACAGCTGTATTTGATCGATGTGGTTCCGGTGGCAACATTCCAGGTATGTTTTTGATGAAGGAATAACATTATAACATGATGTAAAGCTCAGAAAAGTTTATTTTACAGGATATTGTTCCTTTTTAGGTATTGGTCTTGTGCTGGTTGGTGGGAGAATAAATAAATCTGGTCTATCAGTACTAAACCCCCCTGTCTCACCCCCCTGCTATCAGACATGTGCTGCGTTCCTCCTGAGCTTTGCCTTAGAGGGTTAAACTTTTTGTTGTCCACCTTAGTTTTACTTTTGAAGTTGGTGTATGCCAAACTTACCCAAAATTAGCTAACAGCAAACTTCTTTTTCTAAAAGCCGTTTTGGCCGATGCGTTTAACTGTCTGACCCATTGACAACCTGTCAACAGATTGATGTTACATCTTTAGGACGTTCAAACCAAACTGAAGTGACAGAGTGGTGGCGTTTCAGACCTGGAAAATCCAGAATGGATCAACATTCATCATCTTTTCTGTATCAGGATCTGAACTGACCACAAACTGCAGACAGGAAGTAGATAGCCAGAAGCCCAGAAATAGATGGCTCGTGGGCTGGATGTGGGCCCTGTGCCGCCATTTGAGGGCCACTGCTCCATAGAGGTTGAGTCAGCAATCAGCCAGTCATCATGAGCCAGAAGATGTTGGGGATTCCTGGAAACTTGTTCCTTCTTGATTCTTCCATTTACAATGGCTGCAATGCGTTCATTGCACAACGTTACACATAGATGTATTTAAGTGTTTACATCACTGTGAACACTTCACACTTTGCCATATTTAGTGCTTAATCTGTGGTATAAATTATAAAATAAAATAAAACTGGGGTACGTCTCAACCTGGAAATTATCGGGGAGATGAATAGGATTGTGAGAAAACACTGAAATATTGTGTGGACTTTGGTTTAGGTTTGAAACTGCTTTACAGACTTTTGTTCATTTGAAAGTTCATATATTTATGAGTACAGGCATATACACAGGTACTGTGTTAATACATCTGAAAACAACGTTCGCAAGTTTTAGGCCCCATTTTGTGCATATGCAAGCTTTGCAAATGACACCCCCAGAATTTGACTAGGACCATTTAAAATTGATCATGCTTTAACAGAGCCCATTGCTGCTCTGACTTGTTTTTGTGCTGAAAGTTGAAACGCCTCTTATACATCTCATCTTTGTGTGGCCTCTATAGGACGGTCCTGGTTTTACCATGCATTTCTTTCCGTGTTGTTCTATCCAGACTCAACCCGTGAACTGTATCAGAAGAAGCTGCAGAAGTTCTTGGACGACAGTCCTGCACAGTCGTTTCCCACAGAAATACAGGTCAACCACAACGGCAACTCTGAGTCTGAGATCTACAGCGACACTGAGGACGGTATAAACATATGAACTCATTGTGCATGACTCAGGGATCGAAGCATTCTTGAACATTTTTCAGAATGAAGATCTCTATCCAGGCACAAAATTGTATTGATTTGATGAATTTCAGGATGTTCCGATCTCTTTATGAGACCGGAAAGAAGGGAATGATCACGTAGTTTCGGACTTGATTGGAATTGAGCATTACATCCTGATCAAGGATAAGATGTGTATGAATATTTATTCTCAACACAAATGGGAACATAACAGTATCTATCAGTAGTACTGATGGAAGTGGGAGGCAGGGACGCATGGGTTCGTATTTCAAGAGTAGGCAAAGAATAAAACAAAAAATAAGGGACCTACTCTATCTGTCTTCGCGCTACCTAACTTTCTAAAGGTAATTTTGAATTATTGGATTAGGACTTTTCATCGGCCAGTACTCAGAACCAAAGGATTTGGACTGAAGGGACAAAAAACCCAATGGGATATTCTTAGTTGGATCCATACTTCAAAATCAAAATGATGGATTTTGATTACTTTTGTTTCAAAAGTAATCAAAATCCAAAACCAAATGTCACAGTAATGGTGACAATTGCCTTTCTTTGTTATACCCTGAGTCATGTCTAGTGGTTCAATACAGTCAGACTGAATCTACCTTTAGAAGTCAAATAATATAAATCAAATTAAATTGGTCCTGTGGAAGACTGACACAGATCTAAACCTTTTGTCTGTCTCAAAGGAAGGACACACATGTGTTGTGGAACAGTTGTAATGAACTTTATTGTGTATTGCAGTAGTGATAGCAGTACCAGAACCTGTGATTGAACCTGAAGCAGTTCCAGTGGTGGAGACACAAGTGAGGAGCAGAGGGAAGTCCTCAGCGAGCAGTCAGAGCAGCACCAGCAGCAGCAGCCAGAACCAGGCGGTAAGAAGATGGTTCAGAAATCTGACTCTGCATAACTGAACAGCTGCTGCAGGGAAGACCTGTGATTCCTCAATAGTACTGCTTTCTCCAGTGCTGCCAGCTGGTGTCTTAGGCTACACTGCAGCCTGAAGTGGCCCCAATCAGATTTGTTTGTTTGCTTTTATGCAACCTGTATCTGATCTTTTCATGAGAGTCTTGCATCACAACATAGACCCAACTTTGACAAATGCTCCCCAAGCCACTTGAAAATATGTTCCTAAATCTGATTAGTTTCTGATGTTTTCAAATGTGACCTGTGTCTATACGGCCAGGCTGCATTTCAACCTGAACATCATTTGTACTCGACAAACATCACGATTATGAACCCTAAAGAAAACAACCGTGGCGGACTATAAAATTGGCAAATATTCTCCATCATTACCATCTATGTGTACTTGGCACACTCATTACATGTGACGTTATTGTGCCGTTCACTGCGCATTGCCAGGGAATTGTACTTTATTGTTTTGATTGCGAACAGACAATAATTTGCAAGCGAGCAGAGACAAGTTTTGAGCACGAGGAGAAAGGTTTGAGATAGCAGTGAATATTTGAAAGAGTACAAAAGTTTTGATTACAAGCATTATAAGGTTAGAGAACAAAGACATGAAGTCCTACTTTCAGACTGAAGACGTGTGCTCCTGACTTATGGCAGAAAAATGTCCCCATACATTTTTACTGTGTTTGCAGTTCACACAGAGGATCACATGTAAGTCGTAGATATTATGAAATTTGAACCATTAAGCGTGTTTATATCACATAAACTCTGTATACTTAAATGTAGAAAGTATATCTCTAGTTGTTCCAAAAGCACCTGAGAGTACACTTGGTACACTTGGAATTGTGATTTTCTCCAATTGAATTACAAACTACCTTACCAAAAAAGCTTACAAAAGCACAGACTTAGGGGTTTCAAAATAACATTCTTCAAGTCAAATAATCTTTAACTAACTTGAAGCATACTGATGATTAGTCTGGCTTCAAGTAAGCGGAAGTATTCTAAAATTGTATATACTTAGTAAATTTATGTTTTACAAGAGCAGTCAGGGATGTAATGTATATCACAGTTGTGGAAAAATACTTAGACATTATCAAGCATGTTTCCATAGCAACCTGGTATTTCACAGGGTGTGGAGACCTTTGAGATCCTCTGTATAGTTTTAGATTTATGTCACTAAAACCTTCAATAAGCCATCAAACACAGAAACTCCTGACAGCAGGCAAGCAACATGTCTGCCACCAGTCAGTCTCTGATTTATTGCCTGATAGTAATGATCATTGAACTTAAAATGCTCTTTATCTCTGTGAGGCAGATGGGCAGTGAGTGCAGCAGATGGAAAGGAAACAGCAGCTGCTTTTCATTAGGTTCCTTCATCGCTATCAAAGGAAGCAAATTCTTTCCTCTTTTAAGCTGGAGATCAGCCACACCCAGCTCAATGTCAACACGTAGGGTTCCTGACTTCAATAAAACACAGAATATGAATTCACTCCTGCCATGCTCATACAAGGTACTTGCACATCATTTAGTATGTGGATGATTCTATAGTGGTTTGTCTCATCAGGGACACAACAAACTGGTCTACAGAGAGGAGATGAAACGTCGGGTGGACTGGTGTGATGCAAGCAATCTAACACACTGACCACGTACAACACATGTGGTCAGTGTGTCAACAAAACATTTTTTATTTTGCTTTGTTGAGTTTCAGGAAAAATCAACCAAGGCACACATTCTCCCTTCATCAATGATGCTGCAGCGACCAGGACACTTTGACCTGCTCCCTCCAAACCTCTGGTCTGGTGAAGAAAGCTCAGCAACCTCTGCACTTTTATGTCCGATGAGAAAATCAAACCTCCCCCCTCTCATCCTCACCTCTTTCTACAGAGGGATAATAGAGAACAAACTGCCCATCAGCATCTCTGTATGGTTTGGAGCATTTAACACATGAAAAGAGCAGTGAGGACAGCTGAGAAAATCTTTGCTACTGAGCTTCCTTCCATCCTTGACACCGCTCACAGTCGCTGCCTGTCCAGGGCTCCACCAATCACAAAGACCCTTCCATCCTCACCGTGGTCAAATCTTCCTGCTGCCCTCAGGGAAAAGTTTTAGCAACTTCAAACACAGAACAAACGGATTCCATGACAGCTTCATTCCTAATGCAATAACACTACTAAACTCCCATTAGTCTTTTTATTGTATGTTTATATTGATACTTTTTATCATTTATTTTATTATTAGAGCCTTGCAATGAAAATTTGCTCAATATATGTGCCATATGAATATACAACTGACTTACAAAGTGTGCATTTCTAAAAATAATAATTTAAATTCAGATACATCCCAATTGGTCCTAGTTATAAAACGGTGCATTAAGCTCAGTTGAATCTACTTTCTATTGAAAGTAGATTAAAAAGTTTCTATCTAATGAAACCCTGTAGGGGATGGAGTCATTAACCTGCAGCCTTTACTGATCCTGGATCAGCATGTAGTGACAATCACTTGCATTGTGATATTGACTTAGCAACAATTTCTCATACCAAAAATACATGTAGCAACAGTGGAAAGGAAAAACGTCTCTTTAAAATGAAGAAACCTCCAGCAGAACCAGAATCTGGCAGAGTAAAAACGGCCATCTGCTTCAACCAACTGGGAGTTTGAGAAGACGCATACGGAAATGGATTTCAGAAATTAATTATTTTATTTATTGATGTCAAATTAAAAATAAATTAATTCATTAATTCACACTGCTCTTCCAAAATCCGAGGTTCGGATAGTCGAACCTCGGATTTTGGAAGAGCAGTGTGGTTTTCGTCCTGGTGGTGGAACACTGGACCAGCTCTACACCCTCAGCAAGATCCTGGAGGGTGCATGGGAATTCACCCAACCAGTCCACATGTGCTTTGTGGACTTGGAGAAGGCATTCGACCATGTCCCTTGGGGTGCCCTGTGGGGGTTCTCCGAGAGTGTGGGGTATCGGGCTCTTTGATACAGGCTGTCAGGTCCCTGTATGACCAGTATCAGAGTCTGGTCCGCATTGCTGGCAATAAGTCAGGCTCGTTCCCGGTGAGGGTTGGACTGCGCCAGGGCTGCCCTTTGTCACCGATTCTGTTCATTTCTTTTATGGACAGAATTTCTAGGCGCAGCCAAGCTGTTGAGGGGATCCGTTTTGGTGGCCTTAGGATTGCATCTCTGCTTTTTGCAGATGATGTGGTCCTGTTGGCTTCATCGGGACGTGATCTGCAGCTCTCGCTGGAGCAGTTCGCAGCCGAGTGTGAAGCGGCCGGGATGAGTATCAGTGCCTCCAAGTCCGAGGCCATGGTGTTAAGCCGGAAAAGGGTAGAGTGCCTTCCCCGGGTCGAGGGAGATGTCCTGCCCCAAGTGGAGGAGTTCAAGTATCTCAGGATCTTGGTCACGAATGAGGGAAGAAGGGAGTGGGAGATCGACTGGCGGATTGGTGCAGCATCCGCTGTGAAGCGGGTGCTGTACCGGTCCGTCGTGGTGAAGAGAGAGCTGAGTCAAAAAGCGAAGCTCTCGATTTACCAGTCAATTACGTTCCTACCCTCATCTATGGTCATGAGCTTTGGGTAATGACTGAAAGAACAAGATCGCGGATACAGGCGGCCGAAATGGGTTTCCTCCGTAGGGTGGACTTAGAGATAGGGTGAGAAGCTCGGTCATCCCGGAGGGACTCAGAGTAGAGCTGCTGCTCCTCCACATCGAGAGGAGCCAGTTGAGGTGGCTCGGGCATCTGGTCAGGATGCCTCCTGGACGCCTCCCTGGTGAGGTGTTTCGGGCACGTTCCACCGGGAGGAGGCCCCGGGGAAGACCCAGGACACGCTGGAGGGACTATGTCTCTCGGCTGGCTTGGGAACGCCTTGGGATTCCCCCGGAGGAGCTGGAGGAAGTGGCTGGGGAGAGGGAAGTCTGGGCCTCCCTTCTGAAGCTGCTACCCCCGCGACCCGACGGACGGACGGATAATTTTTTATTTATTTATTTTTGATTACAGGATACATAAAGTTTATAAAGCTATGACTTTAAAACAGGGAAATGTACCAAACCATAATATTTATGTATTGTTAGAACTCTGCTGTATGCCAATGTGACTGTGGAGACAGATGTGACAGTCATAAAATCTGATGACATTCACTGTTGCTCTTTCTCTGTGCAGGTTGAGAAAATCACTTCCAATGATCAGACACTTAAAGTGGAGAAAGATGTTCTGAAGGAGCTTTTTCCTGATTTAAGTAGTCCAACAGGAATCAGGTAACCAGTGGTCTCATTTCTAAAACATTTCATTTTATCTATGCTTTGTGTCTATATTTCCAAAACTGAAAATGGCCAAATAACTCCAGACTTATAAAACCGTATTCATGCACCCCAGACAGCAATTCCCCCTTTGTAGATCACAGCTACACCTCCATGTTTACACACCAAAACGTAAGGTCCAGCCTCAAGTTCTGTCCTCTAAATCCACACATCCAACCATAAATGGTCAATGCAAAGTACTTCAGTAATAATAAGCTAACTCATTTACATACACCTTATCAGTGTCATTTAAGAACCAAAAATAGCAACTGCAAAGAAAAGAGTACGGGGATGTAATGGATCCACGTGTCTCACCAACACATCGATCCAAGAGCAATTCACTAGGGAGTCTAAGTGGACCAATAAGCCAATCATCCAGCACACAGTGTATCCATAATGCAGCATTATGCATGGGTGGATGCTAATTTATCTTTCCTTGACTTCACTCCAGCAGCATCCTCCAAGACAGTGACATTGTATCACCGATGACCTGTCTGATAATAGAGACATTTACAGGCAGTTTTGTATGCAATATGTACAAGCTAATATGCTTCTTCAAAAGTTCTTTATATCCTCACTCCATGTCAAAACTGCACTCTTTAAAGGATATCGTACTCCAATGTTTACTGGCCGGCTGTGGCGGCATAACAGGAAAAGTAGCGTGCATAATCTCCAGGTCAATGAAGGCACCAGGATGCTACTGAAGGGGCAGAGATGGAGTCAGTCAGTATAAATGTCAGTGTCCCCACCTGTGCTGCTATGTTTGAAAACCTTATGTACAGTATAGGTTAATCTGAGCATTCAGACTTTCACCAATCCTGTTCACAGCTCACTTTGGTTCTTCTATAGTTTGTGGAATCGCTGGCGCTTTAGTTTATATGGCAGTGGATGAAAATTTAACTTTTATTGTGTTTTTGCTATTGTTCTGTCTGTTTTTGTTTATGATGGACCTTACATGTGTCTGTGTGGTTTGGTTGATGATGTAGTATCTTAATAATGACACTTAAGAGAGCACACCTCAGCCCAATAATGAAATCTTTATGATTTCATTATTGTTAATGAAATACAATATATTCTCTTTTCAATGAGATATGAGTTTACCTGGATACACTGACTGTATTAAGCACTTTGAATTGGCCTGTTGCTGAAATGTACAAATAAGCGACTTGATATGGTTATGAACTGAAAGCTGCATGTCTGGGAGATTTGGAGCCATTTCTGTCTCAGCATCCTGTTATCGCCCCTGTGATCAGGGGCGATAACCTGTTGGCTCAGAAACATCAAGCCAACAGGTTAGTGAAAGAAAAGCTGTTTGCTCAGGTCTTTGCCTTTGCTTCTCTGCTCTTCTACAAATGTGCCAAAGTGAGGCACATACACCCAATTCCCTTTACACACTTATTTTAGTTTTGGGACTTTGAACCAATAACAGCAAAGCAGTCAGAGGTTAATATTTTATTGATTTTCATTTTACTAGTATGATTTTTTTGTTATCAAATGTCAGCTGATTTAATTCTTCTCGATACAAGTGTGAGAGTTGTAGTGTAGCTCAGCAACACTCAATTAGGCCTGATTTGTGTTTTTTATGAGAATCTTGACTCTAATCTCTATTTTTCACAGTGCCAGCTGCCGAAAGCCCATCCGAGGAGCAGCTGGACGGCCGCTAATCTCCAGTGACTTATGGAGTGATGAGAATTCCTGTCTGTCTCCAAAGACCACAAAGACCAGCAGCTACTCCTACACAGGGAGCCATGCAGTCAACAGAGTGTCCAGTTTGAATCCTGCCACCTCCTTCACATCTTTTAGCTCCTCTAGTTCCTCCTCCTCCTCCAAGCTTTCTGCTACAGCTCCATCTGCAGGTCCACCCAGAGCAGTGCGGCGCAGTGTGACTTTATGGAAAAAGCTGGCCCTGTTTGCTATTTTGGCCACATTCATGATTTTTGTTTACCTGACCATGGAGACCAACTCTGTCAGCCCATTTCAGGCCTCAGACTCAAAATCATTTGCAAGTGGAACACCATAAAGAGTGCATATATAGTTTGAAGGGGCCTAGTCACTGTCAATGCCTCTACTTCATTTTTAAGGTGTGAATTTGCAGTGTAGCCAGTTTATCTTACCTCAAGATTACCTGATGTCAAATTCTATTTTTAAGGAAGTGTCTTTCTTCCCTAATAAGTCTTAAGTTGTAAAGGTCTAAGTTGTGATGTAGTGACATTTGCCCCAAAGGATTACTTTCAGCAGATGTGAAAGGGTTGACTCTTGTCTTGCTGTCTTGGTCCATTATTGACCCTGGACTTATACCAGAATTACCCACTGATCATTTTTAGAAAAATAAACAAGAACTTTCTTCTTAATATGTTTTTTTTAAACTTCAATTCTTGATATATTTTCTTGAGGCTTCTTGTGAAACTTAATTGAATTCCTTTATTTCATTCTTATGTAGTCATATTAAATAAACTTTAGTGTTTCAGTTTGCTGATTATGCTGTTTTTGATCATCCTCCTGTTGGAAATTGTTGCATTTATCACTTTATGTTTTGGATTTGTTTTGTGCTCTCTTTGGAATAGTTATTATAAACACCATCTTTGTGTTTTTAGTGACAACATTCACAAAGAGCACAAGGCTAGACAGGTAAAGATATAAATGCCCCATCAGGACATTTTACATTGGATCAAACAAGAAGAGATATTTATTAGAATTCAACCTCTCAACAAGTTTCCAAAGGTCAATTGGAACAAAAACAACCCAGATAGGAAAATGAGTGAATCAACATTGAAACAAAGTCGGGCAGAAACATTGGATCCATATTGAAGCCTGACATTAAAATGATACTGAAAGTGGTCGGTGACTTGCATGTTGAATCAACGTTGAGGTTTCATCCATAACTGACATATCAGTGTTGATTCAATCATTATCTGAATGTGGATTTGCATGCATATTTGTGTTGATTTTATATTGAATCAATGTTTGGAATTAATGTTGACTCATGTCCACTTTTTGGTCTGATAAGTCTACATCATGGCATACTATTAAAAGTTTCTTCACTGCTGTTAAATGCAATGCAGTCAATTCATGAAATACTGGTCAAAGGTCACATCACCTCTGTCCTTCCCCCTTCACTTCAGAGGAGGTAAAACTTTTTGTATAATGGTGCAACAGCAACTTGCTTTTGAATGTGGGAAAAACCAAAGAACTGATGATCAACTTCAGGAGGAAACACCATGTCCACACCCTGTTCAACATCCAGAACCCTGCTGTGGAGATTGTCACACACCTAATGTTCCTCAGGGTCCACATAGCAGACACTTTCTCCTGGTCGCTGCACACTGTCAAAAGGGCACTTCCTGTACAGACACTTAAGAGAGCACACCTCAGCTCAATAATAGGAGAGGGAGGGGACCTTAGCGATTTTTGTTGTCCTTGACAGGTAGCGTTGTTTTGCCAGATACCCAGTGGGTGGCAGTGTGACCCCAACCATTTTACACATGGTATTCATATGTATGAATGTGCTTTTCTGTGTTTGACTCTCTTTTTTTTTAACAATTGCTAAATATTCAGGACACCCCCAATTTTTATAACTTTTTTTTTTTAGTTTGTTCGTGGGTGATAAGAGAATAACTTTGCTGGGACAGAAGCCAAAGTGCAAAGCCAATCCGTTTGAAAGTCATTCTGAGGTCGCCAGAAGAACCGCCCTAATTTTGTCGGCGCTGTTCTGTGATTTGTCCAAATATTATGAGGGGCATATATAAACCGTTGTCCTATTGGACAAAGAAGGGAGCGATCACGCCCAGTGGGTTTGATGACGTAGTGAGAGGACAAATTGATTTACCGCGAGGTCATCAATTCTCTCCAAGCAGCCGGCTGCGGAAAAGCGGAGGCGCCATCTTGATACACTGAAAGTAAGTTTATTTACTTGTTATAAATCCTTTATATTAAATAGAACATCACGGGAACATTACGGGAAGAATAACATATGTGTTTTCTGCTTAGTGTATTCGAATTATGTGTGTCTATGTGTGAGAAGGAGGGCTGGAGTAAAAGGGGACTATAACCTTGGTCAGCCCTATTGAGTTAGCTTAGCGTATCCTTTTGGAGCCTGAATGAGGAAAAGACAGGCCGGTATAAATTTGCAGACAAACCGATCTCTGCATTTAAGACGACATCCAAGTACATATATGGTGCATTAGGTCTGGTGTACATTCATGTCCCAATGACTTTTTATCCCTTGCTTTTGGTTGTCGGTGAAGGATTAAATTACGAGTTAGCATAAGCTAATGGTGTGCATTTTGATCTCTGTAGCGTTGCTCCGCCACCATGTACCCGACCTCTCTGACGCAGCTGGCAAGAGCCAACCCGTTCAGCGCCCCTCTGTTCAGCCTCCAGAAAGTGGAAGAACCCCAACAGAACCTCAATGGTCAACGGCCTCGCAGACTGGCAGCAGCTGCAACAGCAGACGGTAAACCGGCTGGTTAGCAGCAGAGCTAACCGTAGCCACGCTAGCTATAGATTCGCCCTTACAATACATGGTTTACTCTGTAGCCTATTAATGGTCTCTTTATTTACTGATTAACTAATGCCCAATTTCTGCTTTACTAGTCTTAAAACAATTAAATGTTTCATTGTTGGAGCGATTTGACATCAGGCCTCTACTGTGGCCAGACTGTATGCCGAGGACAACGAAGGACAAATGACTGTAGGGGCTGCAAATTACTCATTATTTCTTGGACATGAGCTTTAAAACATTTTTGCGAAGAACTGGGATGGTAATTATTTATCTCGAACAGGACCTTAAATGCATTTGACCTTTGGTGTGTTCAGCATAGTACAAACAGTCCTCTTATTAATTGCATCACAGGTAGTAATATTTTGGTGGTAAGTTTTATCTCCAATCTTAAGTTTCAAGTACTGTAGCAGATGACAAGGGTAAATATACATCATGTTGATCCTCATCAGTATGTCCAAAACTCTTAATTAGGTGTATTGAATTCTACTTTGTTTCCCCTTTCTGAGCAGAAGTGCTCCATTTTTAATACCTCACCTTTGTTTCTTCAGAGGGAGACAGTTGTGAGTTCGGCTCTCAGAAGTATTTTATCCTGTGTGGTTTTGGTGGGATTCTGAGCTGTGGCACCACACACACAGCTGTTGTTCCCCTCGACCTGGTCAAATGCAGAATGCAGGTCTGTTGCAGTGGCTCTTTTTTTTTTTTGAACTTTTGAACGTAACTTCATCCTCGCCAGCCCCTCCACCTTTCTGTTAATAAGCATCAATCTGCATGATGGAGGTTGTTTTTTGTTTTAATTCTGATCACATTTTGTTGACGTGACGATATCACTGCATGATTCAATAAAACCCTGTGTTGTACTGCAGGGGTCAGCGGAGCCGACCCGTGTAGAAAGTGTGGGAATTTTACAGTTTGTCATTGAAGTATGTTTTGAAAGTGGAGATAATTACACATGTAAGAAATAAAAACAAACCTTCCAATGTTCAAATGGATAGGTTGGTATGGGATAGCACACTGGATTTTCTTCTGGTAAAATGAGGCCAGATTGAGACTTTTCACTCAGTGTCATGCAGGTGTTTTTTTTCAGTGAACTACAATGTCATTTAATGGCTAAATTAAATTATTTAAACACATTTCCTACACTGGCAGATTTACTTATGCTTTAGTGATTCTCAATTGATGTTGGAACTCCAAACTTTGTCTCTTTTGTTTGCTTGTTTATCCTTGTGGTGAGACGCTTGTGAGATGTAGGGTGCATCAAGGACAGATCTCCAGTCCATCTCAGGTCAACACTTGGACACAGGACACAATGATGCATGCACATCTTCATGCCCAAGCATAAAATTTAGTGAAAACTGCTTAAAAGGGAGGTTAGGGTAGTTGCACTACCCTAACCCATATGGAAACATAATTCAAAAAGAGCCTAGATTGAGATTCAAAACAAATACCTTCTTGCTGTATAGTTCCCCACAGAAAACCTAAGTCTGGGGTAGGGTCGTCCACCAGCAGTCTGCTGTGTTTTTGAGTAAAAAAAAAACCCTTGACAGAAAATTTTAAAATATGACCGGGTATTGTATCTGTTATTTGAAGACGAAAGATTCATAGGGAACATAATTGGTGTTTGTGTTAAGTTTTCTTAAATCCTCCGGTTTTTAGTTGCTCTACTGTGATTTGCTGATGGGTGATTTATCCACTGTTTGCAAGAAATTCTCTGGACAAAAAAGACCTGTTACATTGACTGGTGTGGCTCTTTGGTCTGGTCCCAATAATTGAAGTGTACCCTACGCCCCTCTATGAATGTGGACTCACTCAACACGCACATAAGGGTTCAAGAGCGCAGGTTATAAGCTGACAAGTGGGACAGTACGCCCTGTGTCGTAACTTTGACATCCAAAATGATGGGACTGGTCACTGTTTAGGCATTTGTACTGCTAAAAGGTACAACAACAAAAATCTATTCCAAGCATACAGTGTGTACATTTTTGCTTTCCTAAGTCATTGCTGGAGATGTTTGACTGCTCAAATGTGTTTTATGACTTGTTAAATACAGAGCAAAATTTGACTTAATCGCACACATTACTCTGCTTGCCTTGACCTTAATTTTCTAATAAGAGGCTATCATGTCTCAGTTCGCATTGCTGGTCTTCTGGATGACCTTCCCGAGGTCTGAGTTGACCAAATGAACAGAAATGCATCTTTAATTTTTATAACTATGTGGACTTCAGGTAAATGAATAAATGAAATAACAGTTGAGGTAATGTTCTAACTTGGTGATGCATCGAAATCTACATAAAACATTTTAATGAAGCAGCAGTTTTTAGTTCTGAGTGAACTAAAACTGCACATTGCTCTTTTGAAGGAAGGACCTGTTCAGTTTGTCTGGGAAGAAAACAACAGCTACATTTTAATTTGGAAAACAAAGACTGAATCAATTTAAAGAACAATTATATTCACCATCTCCATGGTGGTTGATTCTGTACAGTGATTGTTTTTTTTTATCTTCTTTTGAGTGATCCTAATGCATATTTGCATGTTGGTGGCAGAGTTTATGCTGGAAGAGTCCTAGCACTGAGCTCATACCATTGATGGAAGCAATAATTAGGAATGGTTTCAGTTTCCCAGCTGCTGAGACTCTTCCATCATAACCCTGTATATTTTGTGATTATTTTTCCTGTATTGCATGTGACCTGGCATGCTGCATGTGTGTCGTGTCCCTCCCTTGTACCACAGAGGATGTCAGCTGCGAGTTTGGCTCCTCCAAGTACTATGCCCTGTGCGGCTTTGGTGGTATCCTGAGCTGCGGCCTCACACACACCGCAGTGGTGCCCCTCGACCTTGTCAAGTGCCGTATGCAGGTTTGTATGGGACCAAAAGCTAACTATTGGAGAAGTGAACGACTTCCCCAAGTGTTCAGTAATGTAAGCATATTCTGCAAAACTTTGAGATGCAAGAGACCCCACTCACTTCAGAATGTAAGTCAGATTTATATAAAAGCTGTCAGAACAATGATTTTAGGATTAAATTGAACTGGTTTTAAAGCAATGTGTGACCATTGGCAGTTTTCAATCTTGATAAACAAATTTGTCTCAGTAAGACATGGTGAGACAGCTGAAGGCATGTGGGACTTCACAGCAACACTTACATGTGACAGCAGGTTCCAAAAATAAAAGTACTTCATAACGATTTCCAAACATTTTCTTCCTATGTTGCCTTGGTGATCACTGCATATCTTCTTCTCCTCAGGTGAATCCAGATAAATACAAGAGCATCGGCAATGGCTTTTCAGTGACTATTCGGGAGGATGGTGTGAGAGGTCTAGCGAAGGGCTGGGCCCCTACTTTCATTGGCTACTCCATGCAGGGACTGTGCAAGTTTGGCTTCTATGAGGTGTTCAAGATTTTCTACAGTGACATGTTGGGGGAGGTGAGTTCAATGGGGGCTCTCAGTTCTGATATCTGCTCCCTTCACACAACCTCACGTCCCCTTCCCAGATACCAAGGCTGACGATTCATGGAATGACTCAAATACCTCTATTATTAAAACCTTGAGGCAAATTATCTGCCTCAAAGCTTGTTTTACCATTTAGCTTTGAAAAAATAATACATATTGTTTTTGCAACACTCACTTCTGCCAATAAGTTGTTGATGAGGGGGCTGCACAGTGGCACAGTTGGTAGCACTGTTGCCTTGCAGCAAGAAGGTCCTGGGTTCGATTCCCAGCCCGGGTCTTTCTGCACGGAGTTTGCATGTTCTCCCTGTGCGTGCGTGGGTTCTCTCTGGGTTCTCCAGCTTCCTCCCACAGTCCAAAAACATGACTGTCAGGTTAATTGGTCTTTCCAAATTCTCCCTAGGTGTGAGTGTGTGTGTGCATGGTTGTTTGTCCTGTTTGTCTCTCTGTGTTGCCCTGCGACAGACTGGCAACCTGTCCAGGGTGACGCCCGCCTCTCGCCCGGAACGCAGCTGGAGAGGCACCAGCACCTCCTGACCCCGTTAGGGAGAAGGGTGACCGGAAAATGGATGGATGGAAGTTGTTGATGAATGCTAAGTGCTAATAGCATAACATATAGTGACCAAGCGACATCTTTTCCCCGGACATGTCCGGGTTGTTGATGTTTTTCGGGGCATCCTTAAATGGACTGGCGCCGCTGTCTGCTGAACAGCTGGTTTGGAGAGAACAGTGGGTGTATGAATACAGGTGGAGCAGAGGCACAGCCTGCTAAGGCACATGCAGACAGACAGAACGCAGCGCTCCTGCACCGTAGCTGGAGCTTAGCTTCAGTGTAGCTTTGCAGACAAACCAGAAAATAATTTTCCCACCATCCCGGTTACAATAAATGAGTGACGGAACACATCCTGCAGCTGGCTGATGTTTCTGTGTATGTCGAAGGTGACAAAGATCTCTTCACATGGATGCAAAAGCGATCCATGTGAACAAAACAAAGTGAGAGTCAATTAAATTGACTGAAGATGAACACAGAAACTAAAAACTGGAATATTAATTTTTTTCGTCAGCATCTTTGTCACCATACTGTTTTAATTACTTCCTAAGCTACAGTAAAGTAATTGTAAGGAATGCACAGATGAAAATTTGGGCCAGTGGCAGTATTTACCAGTATTTTATTATAGAAGTTTTTAATTTTTTTAGATTACTCTATTCATCAGCAGAATAATTTATTGCTCATGTTCTAAAATAAGTAAGGTGACCACTGTTAAGAAGGCAAGCTCAGCCAATCTCTTGTTGATACCTTTATCCAAACACCCTGCCTATAGTGCAGATATATGCACCTTGATTTCAGTCAATGTGAAAAAGGGTTGATGGTTAACTCTCTCCAGAGGTTATTCCTGAGTCTGGGATAACCTCTCTAATCTTAATTATGGGGATCAACAAACATTTGTCTGGTCGTTAGCTTTAAACATGCAGCTGACAGCTGAAGTTGTGGTCTCACCAACCAGGAAAATGCCTACTTATGGAGGACATCGCTGTACCTGGCTGCTTCAGCTAGCGCAGAGTTCTTCGCTGACATTGCTCTGGCTCCCATGGAGGCTGTAAAGGTTCGAATCCAGACTCAGCCTGGCTACGCTAACACCCTCAGACAGGGTGTCCCTAAGATGTTTGCAGAGGAAGGACTTTGGGCGTAAGTACACACCTTTTCTTTGGTGAGAACACTTTTTCAGTTGGAATATGTGGTCACAGCACGCTCCTTAGATCCACCTCTGGAGGGCGCTGCTCTATGAGCAGAGCTCCTCAGCAGCTTTCTGGCTGTACAGTTGGAGGTGCTTGAGTCATTGGCGTGTGAGAGCAGTCCACCTGCTCCCCAGCCCACCTGCTGCACTGGCAACCTGGCCATCAGACAGGAACTCCCAGTGCAGCCAGTCTGGGGGGCAGATAGTTATCAGTCTATTTATAGTGCAATCATAAAATGGTGATGAAACTAAATGTTCTTGTGCTTCAATTGGAGCTCGTACTAACACAGACTTTAGGATTATGAAAAAGTTTGCTGTCATTTCAGTGTTTTCTTAGTGCTCATCAGTAAACCTGATGCTTGATATCTGGCCAGGTTTTATAAGGGTGTGGTACCCCTGTGGATGAGGCAGATCCCCTACACCATGATGAAGTTTGCCTGCTTCGAGCGTACTGTAGAGCTTCTTTACAAGTATGTTGTTCCTAAGCCCCGCAGCGAGTGCAGCAAATCTGAGCAACTCGTCGTCACCTTTGTGGCCGGCTACATTGGTGAGTGTCCATCATCCCAAGCATATGAACAAGTCGGTGCTCTACAGCTCTTATAGTTTGATCATACTTTTTATAGCTAAAGCTGATTAGTCTGTGCTGCTTTCAGTTAACTGTAATCAGGGTACAAAACAGCAGCTGCATTGCTTGAAGCACTTGCACATTGAAAGGATTCTAGAAACATCACAACATTTGTAGGGCACATTGTTTCTGAACAAGACCTTCACAGTGATGTAGATGTTGTTTAGCTGCCACTCATGCTCTTCTCGCCTCTTTTCTTGTTGCAGCTGGTGTGTTTTGTGCCATTGTGTCACATCCAGCTGACTCTGTGGTGTCTGTGCTGAACAAGGAGAAAGGCAGCACAGCTGCTCAGGTCCTCAAGAGGCTGGGACCTAAAGGTTTGTATCAACATGAGTTGGCAGTCCAACCTTTCAGCACGCTCCTTAGATCCACCTCTGGAGGGCGCTGCTCTATGAGCAGAGCTCCTCAGCAGCTTTCTGGCTGTACAGTTGGAGGTGCTTGAGTCATTGGCGTGTGAGAGCAGTCCACCTGCTCCCCAGCCCACCTGCTGCACTGGCAACCTGGCCATCAGACAGGAACTCCCAGTGCAGCCAGTCTGGGGGGCAGACAACCAATTAGTTCAATGGGGTCTTACTGACTCCTTGGTGAATAAGCTACTGTTAGAACAGTTTTGACCAGATTCTGTGATGTTCCAATCTCCTGATGTGCGTCTGTCTCTCTCAGGTGTATGGAAAGGTCTTGTTGCCCGTATCATCATGATTGGTACTCTGACTGCCCTGCAGTGGTTCATTTATGACTCTGTGAAGGTGTACTTCCGTCTGCCCCGCCCGCCGCCTCCAGAGATGCCAGAGTCCCTGAAGAAGAAGCTTGGACTCACAGAGTGACACTCTTCTCCCTTCATCGTCCCCTCACAGCCATGCAGTCTTCAACTGAAATTTCCACAACAGGCTGCACTTTGTCCTGTTCTTGGCTACGCATTGAGCAGGGAGCCGCTCCTTTTCTCCCTGAGCAACCTGGAGAAGAAGTGAAGGCTGTTGCTTCTTGCTGAATGTTTTGACAGTAAATATTCCTCTATACCAACACCTGTATGGTTTTATCGATCCCTGTCTTAGAGTAAATATGTGGGAGTTCTAATAAAATTTCCCTGGGAAATGATTGCAATGTTCCTTGACTCCATTTAGTGGAAGAAATGAAAGAGGATGCAATTTACTGTTAGTCATCCTTGTCAAACTTTAGATTTACAAACTAACTTACTTGCATCTCAACATTTCCATGAAATGATTGTGACGTGTAAATATGACCAATGCTAATTAAGAAGCTGATATTCCACTTTGAAAAATTGCAGCCTAAAAAATTGATCCAAAAATACTGCAATGTGTGACCAAATAAATTTGTAAATGCCCACAGAGGCACTAATTGGGCAGAACAAAAACAGTTTGAGAGCTTTGCCACTTCAGTGAAACGCTAAATCTCTTTTGGAAGACCTGGAAGTATACCACTCCAGTTGACTGTTACTAAAAAGTATACTCCTGATCTCTCCTGCTTCCTGATATTTTGAGTAAAAGAGTGGTGGCAAGAAAGTCTTAGTCCCCAGGTTTCTGATGGGAGTCAGGAGGTTAGAGTCCATAGGAATAAACTGGTGAGAATTAAGAGTGATGATGAAGGTTAATGAGATATGAGAGGGCAAAGTTATTTAGGGCTGTGTAGATGAGTATTTAATATTGGGTCAGTGATAAATGGTGCACCAGTTAAAAATGGGTAATGTGGTTCCTGGAGAGTGTAGATAAGTAGACGGACAACTGAATATTGGATATAGTGTAGTTTTTGTGGCTGAGTGAAGGGAAGTCACTGAAGGATCCATTTTCTTCAGCTTATCCGGGAAAGGTTGGGGGTGGGCAGCAGTCTAGGAAGTATCAACTACCAGCCGCTTGGACCAGCTCCTCCGGGGAATCCCAAGGCCTTCCCAGCCCAGCCGACAAACAAAGTCCCTCCTCTGGACTTTGTCCTAGTGGGATAGATCAGAACACTGCATTCAGCAGGCATCTTAAACTCAACTGGCACCTCTTGACGTGGAGAAGTGGCAACTCTACTCCGACTCCCTCGTGGATGACCAAGTTTCTCAACCTATCTCTAAGGGAGAGATCAGACACCATCCAGGAAAAAATCATTTTTGGCTTTGTGATCTCATGCCAATAGATGAGTTAGGAATGTAGATTCACCAGTACCTTTTGACTCAGCTTCATCTTCACCACCACAGATTGGTACAACACTAGCTTCACTGTAGATGCCACACCAGTCTTATAAATCTCCCGCTCCATTTTTCTCTCATTTGTAAACAAGACTGAAGACCCCAATATACTTAGAACTCCTCCACCTTGGGATAGTGTTCCCCAATATGTCAAACCCTTCCTCCAAGTCCACTAAGCACATGCAGACTGGCTAGATCAACTCCCAAGCCCCCTCCAGGACTCTGCTGATGATATAGAGCTAGTCAGTGTTCAATGACCAAGATGAAAACTGCAATGCTGTCTGTAAATCCAAGATTCGACTATCTGGTGGACTTTCTTCTCCAGAACCCCTGAAAAAAATTGTATCCCATAGTTGACATGCACCCTAACCCTCCCCTCGGTTGTCCTTTTCAAAGTATTTTGACCACCTTTTGAGTTGAAGTTAGCGTCAACTCAATCCCATTATAAACATTTTTGGTGGTGCATTGCTTTTCTTCTAGAGATGGTGGATCAGAATCAACTCAAAGCTACCAAAGTCATTCTCCATGACGTCTCCAAACTCATCCTGCCTCAGTAATCACCTGAGCTGCATGCCGCTTAAATTGCTGGTATTCATCAACTGCTTCCACAGTCCCATATACCAAAAAGATCCAATGGAACTCCTTCTTCAGCTTAACATTCCACATCGTCAGTGGTGGGACCAACTCATCGCCAGATAGTTTTCAGTGGACAGCACATTCCCTCTCTTTACCTGCGGCTGCAAATCAGATGAGACAACAAAGTTGATCATCAAACTGAAACCTAGTGCATCCTAGTGTGAAGAAGACATATGAATACCCTTGTGCTTGAACATAGTGATGAAAACAGATGTCCAATAACAGAACACCATTCAGCATCAGATCAGTGGGGCCATTCTTCCCAACCACACACCTCCAGGTCTCACTATCATAGTCCAGATAAGAGTTGAAGTTCCCTAGCAGAACAAGGAAGTTCACAGGAGGGGCACTCTTTAGCACCCCCTCCAAGACTCCAATAGGTGTAGGTAGTCTGAATTGGTCATATAAAAGGAAAGGGATGCTACACTCTAATTAACTGGTGTGAACACAAGATTCATCCAGCAAGATGGGGGCAGAAGGTATCCCCAGTCTTGCTCTGCATCTCTCACTCGGGACAACTCCAGAGTCCCTGGTGAGAGACGCAGAGTCCAGAAGGAAAGTGTCCAACCCCTTTCAAGGAGATATTTCCAGTGTCTGAAGTGTGCATCGAGGTGAGTTTGACTATTTCTAGACCAAACCTCATACACCAACTCAAGCTCCTTTCCCATCAGAGAGGTGACGTTCCGTGATTCACGAGACAGCTTCTATGACCAAGTGTCAGATTACCACAGTTCCAGCTCCGGCCAACACCCATCCCACATTGCACCTGTACCCTTTGGCTGGGAACTAGAGTGCAGTTTTTTGATGTGAATCTGTAAAAAAAATACCTTAAATTAAAAATAATAAATTGTGTAGTTACTTAAAGAAAAAAAAAACAAATCTTTTTTTTGTGCATCCATAGATTATTTTCAATGGATGCACAAAGATAGCATTTTCAGACACTTTAATTTGCAAAGTTAGAATTCAACACAATGATGCAGTCTCATTTACAAACACAGAATATTTGTGAATGGAACTTGTGCTCATATTACACCAGATTTACATACTTTCAGAAATTAGTATGTAAATCTAATGCCGAACATGATGTTCGGCATGTTTCTAAACCTTCCAATCAAATGTAACTTTGGTTACATTTAGATTCTTTGGAGAGAAAGTTAAGTAATCAGAACTGGCATCATGTTTCAAACTGAGCTTCAGTTAGCTTATTTCTGGTTCATGCATAATGTAGCAGAATATGATTTAGATGTTCCAGCTCCAGTTTCCTCCAGTGAACACATTCAGTGGATAGACTACTTCTGCCATTTGAGTCCATTTGTTCTAATGAAGCATGGAGTTTGATCATCACCAACCATTCAATGTCATATTCTTTTTTCCAGAAGGCTTCTGCTTGGTGTGTGCCAATTGGTCTACTGATGGGATAGGAGTGAAGGGTGATGGGAAATGGAGCCCATTTCCATGTTCCACTGTTTGGGAGGTCACAGTGTCATCGCTGGCTGATTGAATAAAACATCAGCAATGAGAGATATAAAAAGGTTTCCAGGAGCTACTCTCTGGACATGCTGTCATTTATGGCTCTGTTCTCTGTTATTTTGCTATTTTGTGTGTTAGTGTGTGGAGCTAAGGTTTCATCGTCGGTCTGACGATCCTTTGGGTGAACTTGTTAGGACCGAGCTTCTTTTTGATTACTTACCAGTTGTTTTTTTTTTCATTTCGGAACGTCTCTCTGATGTTGGACACAGATGGGGGTCAGGTTTTATATCTGCTGGGACACATTCAGAGTTTTCTGCTTCAATGGCTCAATCATTTGTGTTTCTGGATGTTTATTCATGAACATTGATTATCAGTGAGCCATTCAATTTAAATCTCTCCATATGTTCAACCATAAGGCATTTATTCGGATTCAGTCTTTTTCTTCCCTTTAAGTAAAATAAGTATAGTGTTTTGAGGGAGCTAGCGACCCCTGACTTCAAACACACCAATAAGAAGGTCAACTAGTTCCTTAACTCGGTTAGGACAGGAAAGGTTTGCAAGTTCTTTGCCCAGAGTGCCAATCAGACGAGGACCGCCTATGTGGTCAAATAATAGTTCAGGATGTCTCAGTCGGTGAGCTTTAATTTCCCATCCAAGAGGGAGAGTGGTGAATAGAACAACTTCTTCCCTTCCTTAAACTTTATTCAACCAGGATAAAATTGACACATGCCCATAATCTTTTGGCAATTTTGAGACAACAGAACAAGCTAAATTGAAACATATGCGTGTGTAAAAAAATGAAATACTGTCAAATGTTGTTTGTAGGTCTGAAGAAGCAGAAGAGTTAATGATGATAAAATGAAATGAACTGCTCTGATCTATGCTGAAGAAGTAAAAAATTTATAAGGAAGAAAATAGTGTAAAACTTGAAAACTGTTATTTACAATAATAAAGCTACAGCAGTTCTTTCACAGAGGTTGTCCTTTATAACCTCTGCTAAATGACACCAAATTTAGGAAATGTGCAACAGTGACAGATTTTTTCCCAAAACTCAATGACAGATTTCAACCTTCTTCTATTCTTTTTTACCATGACACAAACTTGCAAATGCCTCATACACACTTGTTGTTCAAGTTTATCTTTAGTTGATGTAAAATCTTTCTTTGCACCATCATCTCCAGTGAAATATTCAAAATAGAAGACACTTTGTACTGCGATGGACTGGTGACGTGTCCAGGGTGACCCTGCATCTCACCTGTTCACCATGGGCACCAGCACCCCTGGTGACCCAACTGGGGCTGAGCATGTAGGAGAATGGATAGATGGATACTATATTTAAAATTGCACACCAAACATAACCAGCCTTGTTTATCATTGAGTTCTTGGCTCTGATACTGCTGTCCCAACAAATGACAGCAGAAAGATGACGCTCTCAGTAAGACTTATTGACGATATGCAGCATCTTACTGCAAACCTTGAAGAATCCAAGGCATCTCAAGAATTACAGTGTGCTTTCTCCATTCTTGGAGATGCTCCTGTGACTGCATTTTCATTATCTATAGAATTGCACCAACTGAAGTAGAAAATAAATCAGCTTAATAAAAACAAAATTCATAAGGAAAAACTCTTGATAAAAAAGTTACATCAGCCATATTGAAATAGATGTATTTTGTAGAACTGTAATGGAAGAACTTTTTTGCATTACAAGTCATGTGGGTGCCTTTAATGGCAATTATGTAGTCTAATTTAATTTTTAAATTTTAGATTAAAGAAATAAAGTAAAGTTAATATAATTTATGTT